TCAACAAACGAATGCCCCATTGGAGGCACTCACTCAGTTATGCCAAGAGATTTGGAAGACAGCTACCTGGCCAACTGACTGGAAGAGATCCATATTTTTACCCATTCTAAAGAAAGGTGATCCAACAGAATGTGGAAATTATCTAACAATATCATTAATATCATATTCAAGTAAAATCTTACTGAAGATAATTCAAATATGGTTGCAGCAGTATGTTGACAGAGAACTTCAGAAATGCAAGCTGGATTCAGAGGAGGATGTGGAATGAGGCTGATGTCAGATGGATCTTGGCTCAAAGCAAAGAATATAAGAAAGATGTTTACTTATGTTTTATTGATCATGCAAAAGCATTCGATTGTGTGGATCATAACAAATTTGGATAACATTGAAAAGAATGGGAATTCCAGAAAACTTAATTGCACTCATGAAGAGCCTATACATAGACCAGAAAGCCGTCGTTCAAACACAAAGAGCACACTGCATGGTTTAAAATCAAGAGGGCAGTGTGTCAGGGTTGTATCCTTTCACCATACTTATTCAATTTCTATGCTGAGCATGTAATCCGAGAAGCTGGACTATATGAAGAACATGGCATCAGGACTTGAGGAAGAATCACTAACAAACTGCAATATGTTGATGACATAACTTTGCTTACTGAAAGTGAGGATGACCTGAAGCACTTACTGATGAAAACTGAAGAATACAGTATATAGTATGGATTACATCTCAATATAAAGAAAACAAAAAGTCCTCACAACTGGACCAATAAGCAGCATTACAATAAATGGAGAAAAGACTGAAGTTGTCAAAGACTTGGTATTATTGGTTCTACAATCAACACGAATGGAAGCAGCAGTCAAGATATTAGATGATGTACAACACTGGGCAAATCGGCTGCAAAAGACCTCTTTCAACTTCTGAAGAGCAAAGATGTCTCCTTGAGGACTAAGGTGTACCTGACACAAACCATGGTGTTTTCAATTGCCTCATACTGCAAATGAGAGCTGGACAATGAATAAGGAAGACCGAAGAATTAATGCTTTTGAGTTACGGTGTGGGTGAAGAATGCTGAAAGTATCATGGACTGCCAAAAGAACTAACAAATACATCCTGGAAGAAGTACAGCCTTCCGGAATGTTCCTTGGAAGCGAGAATGGCCAGACTTCATCTCACCTACTGTGGTCATGTTGTAAGATGAGACTATTCCCTGGAGGAGGGTATCATGCTTGGTAAAGTGGAAGGTCAATGAAAGAGGGGAAGGCCCTCGACAAGATGGACTGACAGTGGCTACAACAATGGCCTCAGGTATAGCCGGGGTCATGAAGCTGGCACAGGACCAGGCATGTTTTGCTCTGCGGTACATAGGGTCGCTGTGAGTCAATGATGACTCGACGGCACCTAACAACCACAACATAATGAACTTAGCATTTATTCTCTAGAATAAAAACTGCATTTTAAGGTACACAGGTAGTCTCAGTTGATAAACTCTTATCAGAAGAATGCCAACTAATAAAAGCAGAAGGAAAGATAGAATTCTGAAGGACCACCATTTTGTGCAAGAGTTTAGGCAAGTGCATAAAGAGGGAGAACAATGTGGTACAAAACTCAAAATCATTTGGAGGCAAAAAAAAAAAAAAA